TCTAGCATCATGCCGTAAGCAAAGAGATTCATGAGCTCTTTGTCACTTAATGAGAGCAAACCGGGTAATTAACTCTTTCCATCTTTGCGTCGGACTTGCACTCCTCCATTGCCTTTTTCAAATTTGCTCTGACGTCGAATTTTTGTGATGAAGATCCAAATAACACGTCAAACATTACAAGCATTTCCTCCATCGTAGGAATGTTGAATAAGTCGTCCGAGCCCAGAATATCCTCGTCGAAATCATCAAAGTCTGCAAGGCACAAATCTGGATGAATGTGTTTGTGACTAAGATTCAAAGATCATCAATAAGCTTAAATGCTGCCGAAAGCTGTTGAAATTTAGCAGTCTCTGCTGGATCAGCAGCTTTCAATACGCATTTTTTACTTCTTTCAGATCTGCCACTTTTGTCAACCCCAACGTGCGATACGCTTGGCGATTAGTGATGATCATGACGAGAAAAAGAAGCGCAACCAAGGAAAGGGACGCAAGTTAGAACGACCAAAGAAAAAGTTGATCAAACATACAAATTACAAGAAAAAAGGGTTTTCGATGAATTAGTGTCTAGTGTGATCCATGGCTAACTATATACAGCCACATCCGTGAGCACTGAGACGTGAGACTTTTTTGTAAGCGACTGGCAAAACACTCGACTGAGATCTTAATCTCGCAGTAATGTACTTTGCGTATAGAATGCGAGAATGTGACTGACTAATATGACAATGTCGGTCTGAAAATAACCAAGTTTAGTGTTACACTTGATAAGGAAAGGGGGCGTTAGATTGATTATGATAGCGCTAGTTTTTTCTGAAGTTAACTCATTCCTTTATTAGTGATTGGTCTACATGAGTGACTCCTACAGATGCCAGCACGTCCGCGTAACTTTTGCCATTTTCCAATTCTTTTTCCAGCTCAATGAGCTTTCCAACTCCATCGATCATAGTCTGCACAAGCTCCACCTCCGACTTGCCGATTCGAGCCTTGTTCGAGATATCCCACATGCCACCAACAGCAGCCGAATGTTCACCAGCAGAGCCTCTTGGTTGCAGGCCAAGAGGTGTGCAAACTGCTTCAAGAGCGTGCGGATCAGCGCCCAATTTCTCAAGTTTGACAAACATACTCGCACGCAATCCCGTACCCAAGTTCGATGGGCACGTACCGAGAAAACCAAGATGTTCATTGTGCATGAAGCTGTATCCATTTGCTTTAATACTAGCCTCTACAGCTTCAACGGCTTTCACCCATCGAGCGAAGACTTCAACGATGTTTCCATCACTCTGCATTGAAATAACACGCATGTGATCTTCTTCGTTACACCAGACTAAAAACGTCTTTTGATCATTGTGGTAAATTCCACGTCCACTTGGCCAGTCACGTGCAGCACCAGCACCTGTAAGCAAAGTACCACCACCGGGTTTTTGAAAGAGAAAATGATCTTTCTGAAGTTGATCTTCCTCTTCTTTCGTCATGCTGCTCAACGGATGGTATTTCCCTTTCAGTTCATCCGTTAAGGTCGACAGTCCCGTTGCAATAAGATTTTCCACCTCCAAACGTTCCGAACGCGTCGTTCCAGGCGGCAAACTGAGACCACGAATATTACGTCCAGCACGCACACGTGTCGACTGTACATAAGCATTATCAATCTTCTCGGCATTTTTGAGCTTTGATACATCCATATCGGTTAGGTGCTTATCTTCTGG